GTATGGCTTAAAAAGAATCCTCTCATGTTCCTTTGATTTGACTCAGACCATAAGCACATCCTTTGCGAAGAAGCTTGCCAGCAGGTGCACTGAGCCAGTGTTAGCCAGGGCTAGCCAGTACCCTGCCACACCGCCTGGTGTGGCTCTCTCACCCTCTCTTGGTTCTCTGCCCTTGCTACAGAAAGACACTGCGCTCCTCCAGGAACAGTAGCTGTGTCCCTCTTGGGCCTGACTCCCTCAGCCATTACCTACTGGGGCTGTTGTGACGGCACTGTGGCCCCGGGCTGCTGCAGGAGTAACCCTGTAGACACTCTGCACTTTCTAGGCAACAATCTTGCAGACAGGGATTCTCTGTGTAGTCCTGGCTTGTCCTGGAACTTGCTATGTAGACCAGGCTGGCCTCAAATTCACAGAGATCCACCTGCCTCTGCCTCCCAAGTGCTGGAATATTAAAGGTCTTTGCCAATAACATCTGACTTTCTTAATACCAAGAGCCCCCTCTGGTGTGTGTCTCCAGATTGCCCTGAAGCGTGGGTTAAGCCCATCAGACCTAAGCACCCCTGAATGACCCTCTTCCCCACCTTGGAGACTGCCATTTTGTCTCTCCTTTGCTTTACCTACCAGTGGTGGAGCAATGGAGGAGGATGATTTGCATAATGCATTGAGAGTGGGCCATGCTCAGAAGAGCACGTGAGATCCAGTCTTAAGTGACCAAGGGGCATGGCACCTTGGTAAAACTTCCTGGTGGCATGAAACATATAATATGGTCTCTGCCCCACTTCCTGTCTCTCTCCTAGAGGCACCATGGCTAACAACCTTCACTCACTCATATGGGAAAGACAGCAATGGAGACAGTAGCCTACGCAAGACGCCGCCTCCCACTTTCTATTTGTGTTAGTTTCGTTATTTACAACTTGGACATTGCACTTTGAGCCTTATGCTGCTGTTGGCCGATGTCGGATACCGTAAGATAACGTAGACTTTAATGGTGCTCTCAGGCTTCTCTCCAGTCACTAACTAGGCCCATGGGAAGGGAATTGGAGACAGACTGTTGCTGCCTTGAGAAGGCTTTATGGGGCTGTCGAGCCGGCCCAGGATCCATCGTCTTCTCAGCTGCCTCATCAGTGACCCCCAAAGATCAATTCGGCTGCATTCCTTTTGTATGTGTTTGCATATGTGTGAGTGGGTGTGGTTTCTGCATGCGTGTCTGCATGCAGGTGCATATGCCCTTGTAGAGCCCGGAGGAGGATGTTGGGTGTCTTGCTCTAGCCTTCTCTACCTTATTCACTTGAAAAAGGATCTCTCACTGAACCTGGAGCTAGGCTGATGGACAAACAAGCTTTTTAACCCTCCCATAGCACGGTGTGTAAGGGGCCTGGATGCATACAACCATACCTGTTCTTTTGCGTAGGTGCTGGGGATTTGAACTCATGCTTGCACAGCAAGCCCCTTTGCCTTCTGAGCTGTTTCCCCAAACCTGACACATCCATTTCTGTTTGCAGCCACTCGGTTCATGTAGAGGGCGTGGGAAGTCACCTTTGAGTTCCTGCACGTGGGAAAAGTGAGTCCGGAGAGGTGTGCATTTGGCTGGATTTAGAATTCCTGGTCGGCACTTTGAGGACGCTGCCGCCCTCCCCGCAGCCAGTATCGCTGATTCCACTCACTGTCGCCGGGGCCATTTCTTTGCAGATAGGAAATTTTTCAGGCCTCAGGATTCTGAAGTTTCATTGGGACAGATCTAGAGGGTGGGTCAGTTTTCATTTACTGACCTGGCCTCAGTAGGCCCTTTCATCCTAAGTCATTCTCCTTTTAATTCAGGGAAATGCTATTCCGCTGTGTGTATTTCAGGACGTCTCCTCTTAGAGCCACAGTTACATAATTGTCTCCCAGGTAGTTCTTGCATGGCCCTTAATATTTTCTCGTTTTAAAAATTCTTCCTTTTAGACTTAATTTTCTCATTTGGTCTTTGGATAGTTTTTAACGTTTTAATTTCTTGTTACATTTTAAGAATTGAATCACAGTTTATAAACAGTGAAATACTCATGTTAAAAATGCAAGCTGGGGGCTGGGAAAATGGCTCCGTTGTTTAAATACCCGTCCTGGAAGCGCTAGGAAAAGAATCCACGTCTGTAGTGTAGTGGTTAGTAAGTGGGTGGGCGGGACAGCCTGCTTTTAATCTCAGTACTTGTGAGGCAGAGACAGACTCCCCGGAGCAAACTGCTTAGCTAGACTAGGCAAATCAGTGAGCTCTGGGTTTAGGAGAGAGACCCTGATTGGGAAAGACAGCCAAGACCAGGTGGGTGTAGTATTTCACCCCTTCAATCCCAGTGCTCACAGAGGCAGAGGCAGAGGCAGGCAGATCTCTGTGAGTCTGAAGCCAGCCAGGGCTACATAGAGAGACCTTGTCTCAACCCACCCCACTCCCAAAAGAAAGCAAATGGTTTTCATGTGCTTGCATACCTGAACACATGTACATATACATGCTAAACAAGCATGAGTTGGGCTGTGACTGTAGCTGAGTGGTGGGGCACCTGAGTAGCAAGTGAAGGCTTGCTATTTGGGAATGATTCCATCCCCAGTTCTTCCCCAACTAACAAAAAACATCTTTCACTACCCCTCGCTCCCCACTCCCAGGTTCTCAGTTCCAGACCCTGGCCACTCCAAAGGCGCCCCTGTTCTGAAGGTAACCTGATTGTTTTTAGTGTTCCCTATCAAATGGGTTCCCACCAGATACATGCTTATGAGATTCACACAGAATGTTTTTTGATCAAAGTTTTTTTCCTTCCAGTTGCTGAGGTGTAAACCATTGGAATACTGGCCAATGTATTTCTGTTCACCTGGTGGGATCCTTCAGCCAAATCTGGGTGGGACTGTGATGGAGCTGCCTGTGTGCCCATCTTTTGAGGACTCGTGTTTCCTTTCTCTCTGTGGATCTTCTCTGCGGTGGGGGTGGGGGGCTGAGGGCGGGAGGTGGAGATGCTGGAACCCAGGGCTGGTAGGAAGCTGCTGAGGGATCTTGGCCATTTCTGTAGGTTATTTGGTAAAGCATCTGTCTGTCTGTATCAATTATAGAAGCTCTCTCTCCATTCAGGGGCCAAGTCCTTTGTCAGATGCTGTGTATTGGGTATGGTTTCTCCCAGTGTGTAGCTTTGCTTTCATTATCTTAGATAAACAGTGATTTTAATTAACAGAACAGGTTGCCATTTTATTGTCTAGATTAGAGATTAACTTTTTCGTACTTACATTTCATTGGATTATGGGATGTTTTATATATTAAGCAAGGCCAGCCCAGCTTTCAGAATTTATAAAAACTCCTTTCTAGATGGCTCCTTTTAAAGTAGAAGTTTGCTCTTGTATATGCTGTTCTGCTTCCTGGGTCTTCATGGGAAGAGCATTGATTGGATGTTTTTGAAGTCTCTGACCGTCTTTCTGATGCTGGCTGCAATAATGAGCTCTCTTGGCTGTTTGACTTTGTTGATGATGGCTGCTGTCTAGTCCCACTGATGAGCAAAGGGTCAGGCAAGGATCTGTGCTGTGGGGCAGGGGTCTGACTGAATGGGTACAGCTGCCATGTGGGGAATAATTTCTTAACACAGTGACCCTTGTCGTGACTCTATGGACAGCTGCTTCTGTTGGACTCTGATGACATTGTGGGGCCTTCCGAAAGGATCCTGGGGATCTTTGCTTATATTTCCTCTCAGCTCTGATCATCCCTGGTCTATCTCAAACCACCTGCTTCCTGTCTCCTGGAATTCCTCCAAGTTTCTGTGTTTAGTTGTTTTAACAGTTTCCTTTGAAAATAGAAACGCTTCTCTTCTCACACTCCTGTGACTCTGGGGTATGTGGCCGGGGAGGCAGGACTAGAAGGTGACTTTAGGCACCAATTAGGTGGAGCTGAGAAGGCCTCACTGTGCTTGTAGAGTAGGAGGAGTTCACCCTGAGGCCCATGGCCAGTGACATCTTATGAGATGAGCTTGGAAGCAAAGAGCAATCCTTAGGGGCTTGTGAGCTCTTTGGGTTTGTTTTGAGTGCCCCAAGGTGAGAATCCATGGATGGATTTGGGAAAGGGAAGGGCCAGGGTTTCGGTAAGTTACGGGAGCTAATGATGCAGAGCTCACACACCTGATGAAAGTTTCAAGATAGCAATGAGGTTTGTTTTTGTTTTTTGTTTTCCCTTTAATCAGAGACAGGCTCTCACATAGCTCAGGCTAAGCTCCAGCTTGCTATGTAGCTGAAGATAACCTTGAACTTCTGATCTTGCCTCTAGCTTCCAAGTACTGTGTGGGCCACCAGGCCTCGTTCATTGAGTACTGCGGGTTAACAACAGGGCTTTGTGCGTGGCAGGCAAGCACTGTGCGCACTGAGCTCCATCCTAGACCACAATGATATGTGTTTACTGCTCTGTTATAAACTTTGGGACAGCAGATTAGTTCTGATGCCTTGGCCAGGCACCGTGGCCCAAGGCCAGGTGGAGTGTGTTTCTTCCTGCTCCAAGGGCCTGGCTGCCTGCTCTCAGGATTGGCTTTGCCAAGTCGGTTCTCCATCATCTTGGTGCTGGTCTCTGGCATGTGTCATCTCCGTTCACTGCGGTCTCCTCCCCCCACTGTGTATACTTTAGAAGCAAACTGATCTCTCATCCCTTTAAGAAGTACCCTGAGAGTGAGAGCAGAGGCCTCCGAGGTGTTTGGAAGGAAAAAGTGCAAAAGCTTGGCAGCATGGGTCGTGAGCCGCTTCTGGTTTCCTGGAGCGATCTCTAACGAAGGGGCCTCAGGCAGGGACTGAATCTGGGGTTGTGGAACTCTGGGGGCTAGCAGTGGTGTGTCACTTGTCACTGGGTAGAAAGGAAGGGTGGATTCTGCTACATGTCACTGCTGGGGGACACAATGCCTCTGAGGCTTCCACTGCTGCCCCCGACATCTTTTGCACTCTCCTGGTAGGAGGGAGAGTGGCAGCCAAGGCCCGTTACTCCACCCACCCAGTGCACCTGTCTCTGGCTCTAGGACCGGAAGCTCACCAAGCTTGAACGGCAGCGGTTCAAAGAGGAGGCAGAGATGCTGAAAGGCCTGCAGCACCCCAATATCGTGCGCTTCTATGACTTCTGGGAGTCCAGTGCCAAGGGCAAGCGATGTATCGTGCTGGTAACGGAGCTGATGACCTCGGGGACACTGAAGACGTAAGTGCTGCATGCGTGTGGGCTTTGGTAGCCGTGGGTCCAGAGCTACAACAACTAGAGTGGCAGAGGTGTTGGAACGCTTCGGCCAGTTTGGCTGTGTCTATGATCCAGTGTCCTTTCAGAGTATCTCTTTTGAGTGATATTCTTTCTCTGGGCCATGGGAAGCCTGTTCCCCCAAGTGAGAAGACACAAACTGAGTTGTCTTCCTGGCATTTGGCTCCCTTTGGTTTCTCGTGACAAATGAGATTGGTTCTCATGATCATATGACTGTTCCCACTCTCCCTTCCTGTGTGGGACACTGAAAGGCTGTTTACTTCCCAATGACATGGTTCTTTTGTCTGCTCTGTCTGGGACCTTATTTCTGGCCAATGTCTGTTTGCCTAGAGGCCAGCCTGGCACGTTCCAGTGTCCTGGAAGCATAATGCCGACGTTAAGGGCCAAACACAATACAGCAAGGGGTTGGGAACTAGGTGGCCATGTCAGTTTGTCATTCTTCCCTGATGTCTGTACTGTGGGGGTAGGGGATGTCCCCTCTGGCTGGCCATAGCTTGGGTTCCTCTGAATCGTTTTAACCATGAGCCCCTAAGTAGGACCTTGATGTCCTCTGCTTCTGGGCAGTGTCACTCTCAATGTGAAGATTCAGTGAGGGAAATCCTAGTTCCCACCCTTACCTATCACTTCCTCCTGAGTGAAGCCAGGCTCGTCACACAGGTACCTGTAGCCTGGCCTTCTTGACCTTTGACTGTAGGTATTCCTCTGTCACTCATACTTTAGTCTAGGATCCTGCCACATTTGGTGGCTTCTTATCACATCCAGGAGATTAAGGTTGTGCTTGGCATGCATGGGTTTGGTAGCAAGGTCTCCAGTGCAAAGAGCCAGTGGAGGGCAGTGATCCTGGCTCAACTGCCTGTTCCAGGCCTGGATCCCGCTGAGACACCCTGGGTAGGGGAAGAACTGTTGGCAGTCTTCCCTTTCCCTTCACAGTGTGTGGCTGGGCTCTGCCAGACGGGGGCTTCCCAGGGTAGCAGCAGTGAGCTGCACAGTGAGCTCTACCCTTCCCCCAGGTACCTGAAACGATTCAAGGTGATGAAGCCCAAGGTACTGAGAAGTTGGTGCCGGCAGATCCTGAAGGGCCTGCTGTTCCTGCATACAAGGACGCCCCCCATCATTCACCGAGACCTCAAGTGTGACAACATCTTCATCACTGGACCCACCGGCTCTGTGAAGATTGGTGACTTAGGCCTGGCCACCCTTAAAAGAGCATCATTTGCCAAAAGTGTGATAGGTGAGCCCGTTTCTTCTCCCTAGACCCAGAGGGGAACCACATGGCATTTGAGGAGCCACTTTTACCTGGTTTTGCTCAGGCCTGGTACAGACAGACTCTCTAAGCTGTCCCAGGATTCTGGTAACGCAGCCAGAGGACCTGCCTTGTGGGAAACACGCTTCCAGCTTGCCTGGAGATAACTGGCTCTATCTCCCACTGAGACCCCTTCTGTCAGACTCAAGGCCGGCATAGCCATATTCCTGGCTGTGTTGGGTACAGCCAAGGGTGGTGGGCTAGATGCCAGCTTCAGAGCTGTGGTGGACACAGCGGCTGCTCAGGAGAAGGAAGTAGTATTGCCACAGAGGAATTATGCTGCTTGTGGCAGGGGACGCTGGAGCTGTTCCCAGCAGTCAGGGAGAGGAGTACCCTGAGGCTGTGGGATGCAAAGAAATGACAACTTAGTATGTCTCAGCAGAAAGATGGATCAGAGGCCCAGCATGGTGTCTACATGGTGTTAGAAGGTGGTGCTGAGAGTTTGGGTCCTTGGCTCCAGGCCTCTCCTCCTCTGAGAAATATCCCTGATCAACTTTTGGGGGGATGGTCCTCTCAGTCCTGAGGATAATAGTCTATAGCTGTGTGCAAGAATAAGGGGGTCTGGATCATGTGTCCCCAACTTTGAAGTGACTAGCCTGGCACTAGTATCTGCCAGATACTGGGAAGGGTTTCGTGGTCGTTAGAAAGAACATGTAGAGGGGCTGCAGTAACAATTGCTTTGGGACGCTTAACTGTCTTGAAATCAGGTGTGTTGATTACCATCAAGGCTGATTACCCACATGAACAGGATAAGGAGTGGTTGGCCTCAGGGCCCCATGAATAGTTTGGGGAGCTAAGGTGGCCTTAGTTCTTGGAGAACTGCTTTATTTGCAGTAGTGTCTTTGGAATGTAATATTTAAGGTAGCTATCTGGGGAGTTGGCCTTTGGAACCTAGATCTCTGTTCTTCTTATCCTGGAAGAATAGAATGGTAGGGAGCTGGGACTGACCTAAGTCTCAGTTTCTTATCTGTGAAAATAGGTGGAACTAGGCTGTGAAGATAGCTGGTAAGAGCCCTTGAAGCATAATCATAAGGACGTGAGTTCAAATCCCCAGAACCTAGATTTGAAAAGCCAGGCATTGGGGCTGGAGAGATGGCGCAGCAGTTTAAGGGCACGTATTGCTCTTCTAGCGAACCCAAGTTTAGTTTCCAGCATTCCAACACCTGTACCAGGTGGCTCACAACCATCTGTAACTACAGCTCCAGAGGCTTTGACTTCTGTTAATACCCTTGCACACATGGCGTACACACACACAATTTAAAACAAATAGTATATGCATTTTTAATCCAGACATGGTTACATGTACGTCTATAACCCTAGCACTTCAGTGCTGTGAGAGGATTGCTGGGACTTTCTGGCCACCAGCCTTGCTCCAGGTTCAGTGAGAGATCCTGTCTCAAGGGACTAGGTGGGGACTGATAGGGTAGGATACCAGACATCATCTTACTCTCGTGTGTATACATACACCATACATATACACCACACACACGCACACACATACACACACTGGAGACTGATAGGATAGCACAGCAGACATCATCTTACTCTTGTGTGTATACATACACACACGCACTCACGCATGCATGCATGCACACATGCACGTACGCACACTGGAGACTGATAGGATAGGACACCAGACATCATCTTACTCTTGTGTGTATACATACACCATACACATACACCTACACCACACACACCACGCATGCACTTACACACGTTGTACACACTATACACATACACCACACACATGCACACGCACGCACACATGTACGCACACTGGAGACTGATAGGGTAGGACACAAGACATCGTCTTGCTTTTGTGTGTATCCATACACACCACACACACACACACACACACACACACACACACGCATGTGCACGCATGTAAGTTTCCCTTCACATACAAAGAGAAATGGGTGGGGCTCAGGGCTGTGGGGGTGTTAACCCTGACTCTAAGCTCTGGTGAGTTTCTAGCCAGGTTTTGTTTTGCCTTGGATGTGACTCTTGATTGCAGGCCTTGGACTCTGACAGGTTATGGGAGGGCCCCTCAAGGTCACCCACCTTAGAAGTAAACGTTCAGAGCAAGATTTGCTCCATGTGAGGAAGCTGAGTCCCCATGTCCCTGTGAGCTCTTTGCTTTTTGGGAAGCAAGGCTTCCTTCCCGTTCTTGGGTGAGAAGAATGAATTGAGATGAAGGCCAGGTATTTCTGGCAGGACCAGGAAGGTGCCTCATGAGTACACGACTGTGTGGGGTGTCCCTTGTCACCCTGGCTTTTGCTTATCGAAGTCCAGGAAGTTAGAGAAGTTAGGATCAGGAGTGTGCTCAGATGCTTCTGTGGGGCAGGGGGAAGCGAGGCTTACTTAAGGGGATTCCCATGGCCACTGGCTGGAGAGTCCTGTTCCCCACAAGTGCCAGCATCTGGGCAGGCTGAGGCCAGGTGGGGGCTCCCTCAGGCTTGTTACCCAGGTATCCCCAGGTTCTGCGATGGAGCTTCTCCTTGGGCCTGTTAGAAGGAGATGAATGCTGGTTCTCAGGTCACTTTCTCCCCTTAATGTAATCTAGGGTGCCAGCCCATGGGATGGTGCTGTCCAAATTTAGAGTAGGCTGGACTCAGTGAACTCAATTCGGAAACCTCTTCACAGACATGCCTAGAGTTTATCTCGGGTATATGTATGTGTGTGTGTGTCACCCAGGAGCCGTTGGTGCTGCGGACCTGTTTCTGCTGCAGCCTTTGGCATTTCCCTTGCAGGCCCTTGGTTTTTCCCCTGAGTGCTCATGTTGGGGCCAGCGGCTGCCTGCTGCTCTAGGAGCGCTGTGTATGCGTGCCATCCTCAGCTTAGGATTGCGATTACCTCAGGCTACTATTGTCTTTATTTTGTATTTTTTAAATATATATTTTTAAAAAGCAAGACCTGGTTACATAGACATCTGTGAACCCAGCACTGCAGGCTACATGGGTTCACACCCTCACAGTGCATTTCTTGCTGCTTTGGTGGGGCTGGAGATCCCTGTGGTCCCTTTGCATGGTCTGAGAATGAAGCAGATACAGTAGTGCCTGTGTTATATCCCAGGCAGAGCTCTGGTGCTGCAGAGGTGTTTGACCCACAGGGGCCTTCTTGAGGTGGTAGGGAGGAGGAACTGACTGAGACCTTGTTTTGCTGATCTCTGAAGTAGTGGAGCCAGGTGAAGACCTAGGTATTCCATCCTGGAGACCAGGGCTCAGGCCTCTGTGGGGAGCACACCCTGGTCCTGACCTCTGGGAAGTTTCCAAACAGGTTTTGTAAATTTGCCCTCAAACGGTGACATGGGAAAGAGGCTAAGGCGAACTGAGGATAGTCATTCTCAAAGGAGCCTCAGGCCATTCTGGATGGGCATGGCCTTCCAGGTGGAGAGTAGGGAGGCCAGGCTATTAGGTACCATGTGGATGTAACAGTAAGTACTTATGAGTTCCAGGCAGTGTAGGATCCCCCTAAGAGATGGGAGATGGATTCTGCCTGCCCACTGAGGAGAGATGGGCAAGGGGCAATTGTTAATTTGCTCTTATTATAGAAGAAAACCAAGAAGATAAAGGAAATCTATGAAATAGAGCTTTTGAGTCCCATGAAGGGAATACTTTGTCTTTCATTACAGACTCAGGGTACAATTCTTCTGGGTTATAGGGCTATTACAGTGTTACGCTTCAGTGGGTCCCTACCTGCTCCTCCACTGCCAGGCTTCAGCCGTTCTTCATGGCAGAGATGCCATGAAGCCACAGCTGAAGTCACTTCTCTATTGGAAAGGGGAAGGTGGTCAGGGGCTGTACCCACAGGGGTGTTGCCTGACTCTGGCTTGAGGAGCTTGGAGAACAGGGGTGTAGGAAAGTTCCCTAGCATCTGACAAAACAGCTGGGCCTGGGGGAGAGGGTGGGGACTGCCACAAACATCTGCGGGGACCAGGGGATTCCTGGCAGATGTGCAAGGCAGCCTTGGGCTGAGGGTGAGGTAGGTTCTCTGCAGCTGTGAACGTGAAATGGGTGGGTGGGTGGGACAGACACCTGGACAGTCGCAGGTGTGTATGTGCATGGACACACGTACTTGTTATTCCTAAAATTCAGATCTAATTAGTGAGACGAAAAGGAACAATGAATCAAATGCACCAATGTCCAGGAATTATTGGGGCCTCTTGTCCTGGATCAGGGCTAGTTCCAGCTCAACCCAGTTCCCAGAGCCAGGCTGTCCGAGGTCCTTGGTTCTTGCTGGTCCCTACAGAGTTGAAGCCCAGGGATACTGCTCTCTCTTCACCCTGATGCCATGTGGCCAGCTAATGAGTAACTTCTTCTCTGCTAGAAGAGTTGGGGTCCCTGCATGTGCTAAGAAATGGCTGGCCCAGCTCCAAGTCCTGGGAGCCTGGCTTTTGTCACAGTCCTCTCTAGGGCCCAGGACACACCCCTGAAGTCTCTTTGTTGGCCCCTCTAGCAGGAAAAGGCTTTGTGGTTTCTCCCTTGTTATCACAGGACAGCTTGTCCCACACAGTCTCTGGCAGAGGCATCACAGGGTGACATTATAGGCAGTAGAGGTGGCCCTGGGGAGGGAGACCTTCCTTCCTGCCACTTCGGGTTTCCGGCCAAGTCGGTTTCCTTGTTCAGTGTGTTCCAGCTGTCACCATGGTGGACCCTCCTCAGTGGTCACTGTGCTCAAGGCTTATTAACCCCTCAGGATGTGCTGGGGTCCCAAAGACATATGAAGAGGTAGGGAGGGCCTGGGCTCTGATCCATTTGTAGGCTACACCTGTCTGGGACTGCTCTGTCTTGCATTTTGTGGCCTAAGAAGTACATTCACTACCCTATGACAAGGGATGTAACGAAACTTAAAAATATTAAAAATTAGCAGTGCCAAAGACTTTGAAGAGACAAGAGGATCCAAGTTCTCAACACAAGATCTCATCTTGGTCTCTGTCATTTCTGATGGATTTTTTCTACATTTCTTTGTTCTTTTACATAAACCCAAACATGTAGTTTTTAGTTAGACTCACAATGCATATTAAACTGAAATAATGGGCAAGAGACCCCAACATGGGACTGCTTAGAGGTTCAAGCGCTTGCCACCTAAACTTGAAAACTGAAATTCAGGTCTCTAGCACTTACCTGACAGTGACAGGCAGGTAGAGTGGCAACCTGTCTGTAATCCCATTAGCTTCGAGGCAGAGATGGGATCCTCAGAGCGTGGAGGCTAGCCGGACTAGCTGAATTTTAATGAAAAGGTTTTGAAACAAATACTTGGTTACTGTCTATCTCTGGGTCCACGGGCTAACTAGTCTAGCTTACTCAGCTCCAGAGGAGTGAGAGACCCTGACTCAAAGGAAAAGGAGAAAAGCAGATGCAGGAGATTGCACCTGAGGAATGACATCATGAGATTATCCTCTGGGTTCCCCATACATGTACATACATGCTCACGACAGGCATCCTTTCACTTTCCTTGTGTTGGATGTGTTGCAAGTAGTCCTTATCTCAGCATCTCTGTGGGATGTGTCAGGTGGATGCCATTTGCTCATTGTCAAAGTGATAGTTGCACGCCACATTTATTATTAGTTAGACCCAGAAAACCCAGTCATTCCCCTCTCGAGGGATCCTCAGGGCCTTCCTGGGTGTTTACAGTTAGAGGCAGCTTTGGGGTAACCAAAAGTTTTTGCCATCTCTGGATGGGAGGTTTTGAGAAGTGGCTGATGCTGACCTGTTTTCAGAGATACAACCTCCACACACAAGCCAGGGTGTGCTCAAAGAGTAGGTATCCCCCACCCCCTCCCCCCCAGAAAGCTGTTTTCTAACCCTGTGGCTTGAAACGGCACCGAAAGCTGGTGGCTGGCCTTAGCCACACTATGGTGAGGTTTTGGACACTTCAGTTTGTCGAGAACATCTCCTTGAATCCTTGGGGGCTGTCAACCTTTTTGGTGTCCTGAATGTGCCACAGGACAGATGAGGTGGAGGAGGCAGGGAGCATCTGTGTGACCATGGGATCTGATCAGTAATCGTTGTGTCTGCTGCTCCTGATGCAGGTACTCCTGAGTTCATGGCGCCTGAAATGTACGAGGAGCACTATGACGAGTCGGTCGATGTCTACGCCTTTGGGATGTGCATGCTGGAGATGGCCACCTCAGAGTACCCCTATTCGGAGTGCCAGAACGCCGCCCAGATCTATCGCAAGGTCACCTGTGTGAGTCCACTCAGCCACCTTGTTAGTAAGGACACAGCCTTGGTTAGCCCTTTGGGCAGTTGTGGAAGGAAAAGGGTGAGCATGGGTACCTTACAGCGGGGACCCCAGGCTTGCCTGGGTGGGAACTCCAGCGAAAGGATGGCACTGCGGGTGGAGCTTAGCCCTGGAGGCTGCTACCTGTGTGGAACTGGGAGACCCAGGAAGAAGAAAACTGAGGCTTGAGAGCCCGTAGCTCTGCTGAGGCCTCCGTTCAGGAAGTGAGCCCCATCTTCTTTATCTTAGAATCCCAGTTTGTTTTCCTTTTTTGCCAAACCACCGTCTTAGCCAAGCATGTCTCTGGGCAGCTGTCAGCACCGGGCAGCCTGGGACCTCAATCCCTGTTCTGCTGTCACTGTGATTTCTGAGTTGATTTGAAGGCTTCAGCTGTGCAAACAGATTGGGCTGTCCTTTCTCTCTCTGGTGACCCTTATGCTGGTGGAACAAATACAGCCTCTGAGGTGGAGCAGCTGGGTCAGGGCTCTGCTGTGCTGGTTCTCGTGGTGTGGCATCTCTGTGCTCCTAGAGAGGCCAGCAGGCCCTCAGGGTATGCGCTGACCTTGCTTGTTGTGATCCCTAGTCCTTCCTGCATCCTCCTCAAGCAACACAGGGGGACCTCATGCTCTGTCTCCTACTCCAGGTGCCTGTGTGGCAGAGGTTACTTCTGCAGGTGTGTGTGGAGCCATGCGTAGCCTAGGCACCCTTGTAGCTCCATCCTGGGCCCAGCCACCTTAATGAGCCCTTTTGCAGATGGTAGGCAACTCTTACCTTTTGCTGTTAGATCCAGCTTAAGTCACTTAGCTGCCTTGAGCCTCCCCTGTGTGCACTATAGATAGGTGGTGACAGGCAGGAGTTCTTGGCTAGTGCCCTGGCCCAGAAGCCCACACAGGTATAAAGTTACTCCAGGGAGCAGGGGCTGTCTGCCAAGCAGGGTGTTGAAGGCCTGAGAGATCTTGGTGGTATTTGTGTGGCATATGGGAAAGGAACCTTGGGCTTCAGGCTTGTCCTGTACACATTAGGTGGCGGTTTGTCCTCTGGCCTGGGGACAGGAAGGGGCATCTTAGGCAGAAAACTGGACATGGCCCTCATTCTGGATAGCAGACAGCACAAAGCTGGTCCTTCTGGGCTTCTTTACTCTTGTCTGCCCCAAATGGGGACTTCAACAGCCAGGTTCAGAAGAGTATTTCTCTCCTTTCTTCTCATCCCCTTCGCTCTCCCTCCCCTCTTCCCCTCTTCCCTTCCTTCTTTCTGTTTCATATTTTCCAGATAAAGCAAAAAGGGCAGGGATTTTAAAGGCTGAATCTTGCTGAAGGATGAAGCTTGGGAGGGTTGAAGCTTTCAGTGCATTTTAATTTTTGTAATTAGTTGATTCCTTTCCCCTGCAACTGAGCAGATTGTAAATGAACCCTGCTAGCTCCAGCTTCTGATATAGGAGATATCTGTGCTCTCTAAGTGGCCAATGGTTCCCTCTCCCTCGCAAATCTCTTCCTGGCCTGTGGCCAGAAGCAGTGGCCATAAACAGTCTTCTTGACTCCCTGGGGAGGGGCTGGTGTAGAGAAGAAACCCAGGTATGGATTGAAAGGCCTGACTCTGTAGAAAGTGTGGAATCTACTGTAACTAAGGTTCTTCACCAGGAGGGATAGCTTGTATGGTAGGGCCTGGGGGCTCTGCTCCAGAGGCTCTGCAGCCAAGCCAAGGGACAGTTTTGTAGATGCTCACTGCTGTATCTGAAGCATCAGCTTTGGCATCTACAGGGCAGGCAGGTGAAGGCTGTGCTGTGTGTTTTTGCCAGATGGTGATCCTAGTGACAACATGGATGGGGGGGTCTTGGCCTGAGTTTGAGCTGGGGATACTTTACACCCCCAAGATGTCCTCTATTCAGACAGGAGTAGGAGGAACAGTGGCTACTGGCCTTGTGCTGAAGGGAAGAGCTTAGAGGGTCACAAGGCTTTTTCCCCATTCTGCTTTCAAGCCTAGGGCTTGAGTGTGTTGCATCTACAGGCCTGGAGTTTCTCCCTCACTCCTCTGTGTGTGTTCATCTATGCAGGCATGTGTGGTTCCAGAAGTTATCAATGTGTCTTCCTCAATTGACTCTCCACATTATTTTTGAGACAGGGTCTCTTGCTGAACCTAGATCTGAGGACTGGTTGGCCCATGAGTTCCCGGGATCTGCCTCTCTCTGCCTCTGCCAGTGCTGGGGTTATAGGCATGTGCCACCATGCCTGACTTTTCCTTGAGTCCTGGGCATCTGAACTCATGTGCTTCCCCAACAATCCTTTACTGCCTAAGCCATCATCTGTCTCCAAGCACGTCTCAGTTTCCTTCACTGCTGCCCATCCTGTCTTATGGGGGCTTGCTTTTATATGTAGGATGTGCCAACCTGCACCTCATTAGTGTCACCAATTCTGAAGGGAAGGGAACAGAACTGTGTGTCTGTCTGTCTCTCTGCTCCATGCCCAATAGCTCCCATTGCCCTGCCTTCTCTTCTGTGAGGTTTCCATCTCTAGTTGGCCTTTTGTATCTATAATTTCTGCTTGTCACCAGCTGTTTGGTTTTTTCATCTACCGCACAGCTGCTATGAGTTTTACCCCTACCCCTTGTCTCCAGCTTGCAGAATGCTCTCATTTCTGTCGGCTTGTTTTTCTGCTGTGTGAGGAGTTAGTGTCTTCTTGCATCCTAGCATTTCTAGTAGTTTACTTTTGATCATAACACACTGTACCATTACAGCATCCCTGCACTGTGTGAGCTGTAGGAATAGCTCAGCCTGAAGATCCTTGATGTCTCTTTGCCAAGATCTGTGGTGCTGACTAGGTATTCATCTTGGTTTTAAGCAAAAGCTTGAGGAGACTGTAGACATAGGAGCTCTTTATCACTCTTTCCTTTCCAGGACTCTGCCTCCTAGCCTCCTCAGTTTCCCTGAACATAGCTCTACCCTCAACCCAGTGAGGCCCCAGGCTCTACTGGGTCTCAGGACTCAGGCTGAGAAGTGCCCTGGGTAGCAAGCTGAGCCAGGGAAGACACTGGTTCCTCCAGCTCTGGGTCGTGCCAGATAACTCTGCTCTGTTCTCAGGGCATCAAGCCAGCCAGCTTCGAGAAGGTGCATGATCCTGAGATCAAGGAGATCATTGGCGAGTGCATCTGCAAGAACAAAGAGGAAAGGTGAGCTCCAGCACCGTGGGCTCGGGGGTTCTCCAGCTGACGTTTTGGGCCACATTCTCTGTGCAAACTTCCCAGGTCAGGCAGGCTGACTCAAGCTATGTGACACCGAGCTTGAGAGTTACTGTGAGCTGTGTAGCACTCACATCCTTTCCTGACTCCTGAAATAGGCTCCTAACCCAGCCTCAAGTGCTGAGGCATCCAGACCTTTACTCTGTCCTTTGCTTTCTCTCTAGTCCCCATGTCCCCTTAAGAAACATCTCCATACTCAGGTTCCTCATGAGCCTCAGCCCCATCAGCCCTTCTGAACAGCAGGCTGCACATGGGAGTGTACTTGTTCCAACTGTCTCTCGGGCTGCAGATTTCGCCTCTGGACTCCCCCCCCCCCGCCCCCAGTTGTTCTACAAACCCAATTCCTCTTTAGAACAGGATTGGCCTTCCCAGCTGGACAGCCAGGAAGCTAGGGTTGCCTTTTAGCCTTCTTAGCCCTCAAAACAATCTGGGATGGACTCACCCATCCACATGACCTTCTCAGAGGTTGGTAGGGATGGGTAGCTGGTGTTCGTTGCCATCAACACGATGCCCAGAGGAAGCCAGATTTATGCATTTCTACGGGAGAAAAGTCCAGACACAGTGGTTAGGGACGTGTGTTTAGGAGGCATGACTTTCTGGACCTGGAAGTGATTGTGTAGCAACACCTAGCTGCCAGATGACCTAGCTCCCTGGGTGAAGCCTCCCATGGCTGGGTTCTGGCTCCAAACCCCTAGGTCTAGGAAGTCCTTACTTATCTCTGTCTGCTGCCCCTCTTCTTCCACACCCCTTCCTCCCTATTGACCTCGCTGCTGCAATGAGGTCCAGGGACCCTGGATTCTTTGTGTGTGGAGGATTCTACTTCCTCTCATTTACCCTGAGTCAGGAGTCTCTGATGAGGATTGAACACTCACCCGTACCTCAGCAGGATCCATTTCTAGCTTAGCAGGTGGCCTGGCACAGAGTGTGACTTCTTTTTATAATGGGTGGGAGGACTATCTTAAAACATGATTGCAACAAGAAACAAAAGCATATCAGATCCTAATTTCTCAGCATCTCCTGGGGATTACGGAATGCTCATGTGCACACCTGTGTCCTACCCCAGGGGGCAAAGGCTGCCCACCAGGATTGAAGTGGAAGAATTTCATAGCATAACCTGCTCAGTGTGCTGGGTGCTGACCTGATATTGTACTTGTAGATGGGTGTGGAAGCCCCTTGTCCCTGAGCCCTGCCTGGGAGTCACTTTCTCTCCAGGTATGAGATCAAGGACCTGCTGAGCCATGCCTTCTTCGCGGAAGACACGGGCGTCCGGGTGGAACTTGCAGAGGAGGACCATGGCAGGAAGTCTACCATCGCCCTGCGACTTTGGGTGGAAGACCCCAAGAAGCTAAAGGGAAAGCCCAAAGACAATGGAGCCATAGAGTTTACCTTTGACTTGGAGAAGGAGACCCCCGATGAGGTGGCCCAAGAAATGGTAAGGTGCATATAAAGGGGCTCAAGATAACCGTGGGCGAGTTTGGGATAAAACAAATTGGAAAAAAAAATCACAAATCAATTGCTTTTCCAGAAGGGCATGTGCTCCCAGAGGAATGGCCAGCATGCATGGAAGGGTTGGGGGCAGTCCTGAGAAAGGGTTTGGGGTCCCTGTGGTGCGGTCAGGTGTGTATGTGTACAGTGGCAGGAAGGCTAAGGCTCTCCACTGCACAGGCCCTGGGAAACAAGATGAGCATCTGGGACACAGTCCAGGGAAGATGTCTGATGCAGAGGGGGGAGGGTGACAGGCCCTGATTGCCTTGACCAAACTCTGCCAATTTGCTCCAGGACTACAGCTTTGAACATGGGGTTTGTCCCTCCTGCTTTGGAGATATTCTTATTTTGTTTGGGGTTTTGGTACTTTAACGCCTCAAGGGGTGATGGGAGAGCACAGGTGTGTCCCAATGCCTGTCTGTGGGTGAGGAGGGGAGACCCCTTTATTGCTTGGGATGTCAGACTGGGCCTCAGGGAGGGACATTGAGCCTGGTAGGGTACCAGGGAAGGAAGAAGGAACAAAACAGCCCTTATAGGGCAAGGAGTGGCTCCGGCCCAGGCTCTGTAGCATTACTGCGGTACCCTAACATCTAAAGAGGTGAGTGGCCAGGTCATAGGGATTTCTAGGGCCTGGATGCCAGACTAGATTATTCTACTCAGTTCTCTGGGCCAGCAGCATCCAACATGGTAGACATGACGCACAATTACCTTCTAAGATTTAGGTGGTTTAAAATTAAATTGCGGTTTAAACTATGGTCTCATCGGCCACATTTCAAGTGTTTAATACCACACAAGATGGGTGACTCTCCAACAATGTGGGACATTTTCATTATAAACTTGTGCCACTGATGTGCTGCTCTGTGTCTGAGGGAAGTCAGAGAGAGAGAGAGAGAGAGAGAGAGAGAGAGAGAGAGAGAGAGAGA